TTGGAGATTTATCTGTCATTTATTTTTTGACAAGCATTGTGAAAATATCACCAAATATTTTCTAAGATCTGTATCTGTATCAATTAGAAGGTCTTTGTCTTCAAGCAACAGAACAATTCAATAAAATTACCTCAAACTTGTAAGCATGTAGAATGTTTTTAGTATAATAGGGATTCACATTTTATCTCAGATTTTTAAAACTGAGGCAACCTGGTACTACAGCTCCATGGTGGACTTCCGTGGGCTTTATGGGTCAGCGTTTTGTGACACCCAAAACCTTCACCTCTTTATTGCCAGGGAGAATCATTGACATGGACTGATCAATATTCAGCCTCTCTAGCTGGAGCTTGGAAGGGCCATGTGACTCACATGAACACAAATTATCTGAAATAGTAAAATCAGATGAGGAAGGATGCGGTGTAAAAAGGAACAATAACTTCTCCCTCCTGGGTTCATATTTCAATTTATAAAACTTTGATTTTCTGAAAATTAAAAGATGCCTACATCCCAAATAAGTTTTTAAAAGTAAAATTGCAGTGCAGAAGATACAATCATCAAAAGGATATTGCAAACTTTGCCTTTTTCTTTTCTTACACAGATATATTTTCAAAGACAGTATGTCAACAGGTCACCCAGCTCAAGCCTGTGTTCTGAACAGTACATGACTTAGATACAGTCTCAGTTCTATTTGGCCCCCAAAAGAAAGGGGAACAGACACAGTGATATAATAAGTCATGGCTTCCCAGTGGTCATATTCTAGGAGACTGCACATACGACTGAACACTCATTCATTCGCTTACACTGAGGCTCATTTAAGTTCAGGGAAAAAGGGAGCCCAGGCCCTGCCCAAGGGACTTTGAAATTTCCTTGTTTGAGCGTGGCAAAATCTGCTTCTCTTGCCTAATCCAATTGAGCAAGAGGGGATGAGGATGGCTCTGAGCAGGGCCCAGAGCCAGGCCAAGGCCGGGGGAGGGACAGGGCTCATGCTGGCCTCCAACTGGCCTGGCTTCTGGGAAGTTCAGCAAGGCATGGAAACGAACATGACCAGAAAAGTACTTATTTCTGTGGAGTTTGTAGAATGATGTGGGATTGCCAAACAACTTATCAGGGGTGGGGATTAGAAGAGTCAGTATTTTTAAAAAGCTGAGCTCTTTGGTATACTACTGCAATAAAGGGTATTTCCTTATTAGCAATGGCTGATGTAAAAAATAGGAAATAATGAACTTTTACTGTTTTTTTTAATCTTTGCTTTTTTTTTTTTGTGGTATCGGGGATTGAACTTGGGTCTTTGCGTTTGCAAGGCAGGCCACCAAACCGTTGAGCTAAATCCCCGGCTAATCTTTGCTTTTTAATGAAAAAAAATTTCCTTAGAATTTCTTTTAGAATCTATTATTGAGGTTTCCATTTTATTGTGAATCAGGACTTACATACCCGTAGGTTTCTTGTTTCCTCAAGCCTGAATAGCAGTGTTTCTGTTGTCCTCACTGCTGACATTCATGATGAGATGATACAGTTTTATACCTAGAAAGAGACGTAAATATACTAAGGTCTTTTGCAAAATTGTTCATTGCTTAGCAAGCAAATTTACTACTGTCATAAACACCTTTTCATAGTTTCAGGTGTACTAGGTATAGGTTTAAAATCCACTAAAGTACTTCCAGACTTTGACTTTGAATTCATTAGTTTTGAATTAGAGTTGGTATGTTTTTATAACATCAACATATTTGCCCTCATTCTCCAAATTTAAATGACTCTTTTTTAAACCGGGAAGTTATCGAATAACAAAAGTGCTTATAAAATACATGAAGTTCTTGTTTTATTTTGGGAGGAGCCTGGAGACAGGGTCTTGCTTTGTAGCTCAGGCTGGCCCTGAACTCACTGTGTAGCCCAGACTGGCCTCACTCCTGGCAATCCTCCCGCTTCAGCTTCCCAAGTGCTGGGATTACAGGCCAGCACCACCACACCCAGTCTGTTCTCATTTTAACATGAAGTAAAATTTATGCGCGGAGACACAATTTTTTGCTCCTATTTGTGCTTCCTTATACAAATAGTCACAGTATTTAGCAGTTTAAGACTAACTGCTTTTGAATTCTAAGGTGAAAACTACATACCTTTCTCTTTAGTGCCTCAATTAGGAGCCCACTTAGTTAGAAATGTCTTTTTTTCCTCCTCAATCCTGAAGTCACATTTTTGCTTCATTCCTCACAATCCTTTGCGTCTGATAGAATTGGCCAAATCCCCCTGTGGCTGGACAGTGCCTTTGGCCTGGTTTCCCCTCTCTGACAGCTGGTCTCTGACTCCTGGTCAGGAAGGGCGCTGAAGCATCATTTTCACTGTGTGCCCCAGGATTTCTCCTATGATCCCCGCTCCCTGCACACACTTCCCTCTTCGCGGGGTGCACAGTAAACCATGTGTCGTAGCCTTCATTGTGCTAGAACAATTTTTCTGTGCATAGAACCAAGCTTGCTTCCATTAAGCAAGAATTTATTTTTTGTACTTTCAGGTTGAGAAATAGCTGTTGTTGAGAAAGATTAATTAAAATTAAATAACTGTGCAAGTGAACTTGTCGATTTACATGTGACCTATATAAAAAATAAGTCTAAAGCATCAAAGTACCAGAAAACATGTCTGCTAAGAGATTTAAATTGATAAAAGTCAATTTAGACAGGAGCTAGAAACTGTTTATACTTTATTTTCTTGTTTTCCTTGTAATTTTTGATAGTCTCCATCAGCTACAATGGATAAACTTAGGTTTATGCATTTCTTACTAATTGTGGCCATATTTACATATCCAATTTTCCCATCTTTTCCCGTGTCAGTTTATCTCCTTCATAAAAATGTGGCTAAAATCACTTAATTTGTTTTACTCTTCTGGGTACATGGGAACATTTAGCATAACACCTGATCCTTAATATTGTATAAAAGGTACTTGCATCCTTTCTTATTTTTTTCTAGTATTTTCAAATGGTCTTACATAAGGGAGAAGAAATAGAACATACTAATTGAAACCAATAAATTTTATTTTATTTAAAAATTGCATTTGAATAAAAAATGTAAAATATTGAAAATAAAAATAAGACAAAGGAACACTGAATCCAGAAGGATTAAAAAAAATGAACTTTATAGTCCTAACAGAGTACCAGTAAAAATGTGTGGAAATAAGAGATCTACATTAAAATCACCCAGGAAATTAGCATTCAGGGGAGCAGCAGTGCTAAAGAACCCAGAGTGATGAAACATACAAAAATCAAAGCAGTGCCTAGCAAACATCAGAGAAGAGCCTGCGGTAAGAGATGTGAAAATAGGAAACCAGTGGAGAGAACAGAAACATGACGAGAAAAAGTAAGTACTGCTGTACTTGACGGCTTTAAAATAAGCAAGATGATGTAGAACACTCATGCCTGATCCCCTGGCTCTCTGAAGATCCCTTCGTTAAACGATCAGGCTTAATAATTCCTAAGATTCTTCTCATCTTCTGCAATACCAAAGTGAGATGTGAAAATAGGAAACCAGTGGAGAGAACAGAAACATGACGAGAAAAAGTAAGTACTGCTGTACTTGACGGCTTTAAAATAAGCAAGATGATGTAGAACACTCATGCCTGATCCCCTGGCTCTCTGAAGATCCCTTCGTTAAACGATCAGGCTTAATAATTCCTAAGATTCTTCTCATCTTCTGCAATACCAAAGTGATGAGGGAAAGAGGAGAAATATATCACAGAGAAGGTGATGCCAAGGTCCTGGGTCCATGAGTTGCCCTATTTCTTCCCATAATGTGGAAGGCTAATTCCTAAGATTCTTCTCATCTTCTGCAATACCAAAGTGATGAGGGAAAGAGGAGAAATATATCACAGAGAAGGTGATGCCAAGGTCCTGGGTCCATGAGTTGCCCTATTTCTTCCCAGCAAATGTGGAAGTCCTAGGCATCGGTGGTCTCCCCGAGTCCTCACAGAGAATTGTCCTCTGCACCCAAACTCCAGTCTGTGAGCTCCTTGCCACGGTTTCGAACCTGAGCGGACGTGCACAGACACCAGCACTGGGCGGTCTTGTGAAGTATCAGTGGTTCAGAAGGGCGGTTCATCAGAGATGTGCCGTAGTGAGCTAAGCACAGACCGCCGATTGTAGGCAGCCAGCCAAGCCTGCAGCTACACATCATGCCTCTTCTGAACTGAGCTTTAGAAGACCGTACTTGGGGGTGTTTCACCCTGTTGTGTACATGATAGGGAGCTATCCTGTGATATTTCTAACCAATGCACAAATCTTTGCAGGCACTCACTTCTCTAATTAATATCAATTATGCCAATCTCCAGAGGGGACAAAGACAACTACGTTGTGAGCTTGTGTTGAATGCTAAGTAACCAGTTCTGGAAGGAATGTTCTCAGAGAACTGCTCACCTCGAGATGGTCAGTGAAAGACTCATATGAATATTGTAACGGGGTGTGGAGTACAAAGTATATTTATAAAATCTCATGGGAGAGCTCACGCTTTACTTCTCTGAGTGGCAGGTTTCTGAGCCTTCAGTCACTGCAGGACAAATGCCCCTTAGAGGGAGGGAGGGCATGAGATGCACGGCTTCAGTGTCGATCCCAGGATCTGGGAGAAAGCTCCTGCTTGCAGTCTCATGGAGAATGAGCCATGAGGGGCTTATTTCTTCACAGCATACGTGGTGGTGAGTTGCGTGCATCTGGTCTACCTCTTAGTCCTCTCCAGCACGAAGGAGCACCGTCCCTGTGACAAGCCTGCCCTCGCTCATTTTGCAGGGCTCGCTACAGTGTTTTCTTCATTTCCACCTCTGCACAAAGCAGGACGTAAATGCTTCTTCAGGGTACAGTGAGGTCCTGAAACGAAGACACAGGATGACAAAGGTCAAGGGAATGGCTCTGAGAAAGTAATAGGGATGTCCCCAGAGAGGGGAGTGCCGCAGTGTTCTTCAAAAAGTCCCAGAGGAGGAATTGTTTCTTTTTTTAAAGGGAAGAAGCAGGGTAAAGAGCAGCCGTTTTTTGAGCTGGGTACACTAGCAAACCCCGGTACTGTGTGTACCGGGTGGGAGCATCGGGTCTCCCCGCGTGTCAGTCAGGCTTGCACAGCCATCCCTGGGTGCCTGGAGGTGGGGCTCTGACTGCACAGCCCCGAGCTGACCCAGCTCGGGACAAACACAGCCAGAGTCACCAGCGTTATTCTAGGCTCCACTACCCTGCGTTTCGAAAGCACAGAGTGTTGACACCCGTGGCCTGGCACAGTTTCGTGGGACTTCTGCCTGGCGGTTACTTCTGGAAAGCAGCTGAGCGCGACCCAGGCCACACACGTGAGTCATGGCCAACGTGCAATCCTGCAGTCGCGTGTGACGGTTGGATGTTTGCTTTGTTCTTGCCCAGTTTAGAATACTCTTGGATTTCTCTCTTCCCTAGGGGAGTAGGATACACGGAGTATTGGAGGGATTTAGACAAACTATCTCAGGCTTTTAAATGGGACACTGTATCTAAAAGCAAGTAGAGAGAGAAGGGTAGGTATAGGCATTTACTACGGTCCTGGCACATTACAAAGAGACACGAGACCATTCCAAAATCATTTGCAATTATCAAGCCCTCCTACACCTCCAACACACATGTGTGTTTATATACTTCTATGCTGCATCTGGACATGGGAACGCACTAACAGCCATGCCCCCATAAGACTGCTACATTGCAGATGGCTTTTTTCTACCCAAAGGTGCAGTTATAATGCCTGTCTATGGAGGCTTCGGATTCCTGGGCAGAGTGGTTGTCTTCTCGGTGTTCCAGAGGGAACAGTCTGTCCTCCCTGCCTCTGGTTTCAGCAGTAATGAGAAGAGGTCACACGCACTCCCCACCGCTGGCGTTTCCGGCAGGTCCCTATCAGCAGGTGACTTCTGTGACTTACTTGAGAAGTGGATTGGTGGCTTTATTTTCCTCTCTGCTTAAAGGACTCTGTCACTTGTACTGTACAGCCTTGGGCTGCAGAATCTTTGGAGGAATAGAGAATAAGGTAAATAAAATATTTCCAAACTTAATCATTAATCAAAAGCAAGTCTTTAATTTGCAAATAATCCCTGAGATGTTTTCATGGAAAGAAATGTCTACATAGAATGGAAATATCGGAATGTGTAGAAAGGCAGGTACTAGGGCTAGGGAGAGATGTTATAGATTCCAACCGTGGTTGTTTCACTGGTCACATGCAATCACTTCTCCTAATGACATCTGATTTGGACTTGATTAGGTTACTGTGTTCTTTAGGAGTAAACAATACTTGAATGCCTTGACTTTAGTTACTAAGATGATCTTAAATACCTGGAAATGCAGCCCATTGAATTAAAAGAGAGCAAAGGAGTCAGCTGTTGGCCCCAGTGGCCATTGTTTGAGAATAGGGAAGTAAAGAAAGTGTTAACAGAAGGGGGATGAAATGTCAATACCGGCTCACTCAGGAAAGCATAATTTTGCACCTCAATCCACCACACAGCTATATCTGTCTCAGGCAATTACTCTTTTACTATTAACTCACTAGTTCATCGGGCCCAATAATTGCACACAAATGGAACTGACAGACTGGATCTCGAAGCTACCAAATGTACACTCTTACAATAATGGGCCAGAAATTTACCAATGCTCGCCTTGTGCCAATGACTTTGTCTCTGGAGAGCTAGACTAGATACTGAATGCTGTTCATTGATTCCACAAATAATTGTCTGCCCTATATGTATTGGGTCCTGATCACTTCCTACATTTACTTTTAGCCATGTAGGACTGTGAATATTCCAATAATTTCCCAGTACAGATTTTATTATTTCATAAGCTAAAGGGACACCATTCCAGAGAAATTCAGTAAGGATGATTGAGGGATTATAATGATTCATATTTGTTTTTTAAAGATGATGAAAGATCCTTGGACTCCCGCACTCTGTGGAATCTTAGGTTGCTTAGAAACTCAGTGACTATGGGCTTGCTATGGCAACCCAATTTTTCAGTGAATGCAAAACTAACAGCTGGCACTGTGCTAAATCTCCATATTTTTGTGGTAAGAACATTCAGATAATCGGCATTTTTATTATTTATACAGTGAAGCTAAGGAATATTATAATTTACTGAATTTTGCAAACAGTTGATAACAGATTGTAACTACATGACAATTAAGTTTGAATTTTGTAAGCATTTTCTATTTTAAGTCTATAATGTCTGTTGGTTGCTATCCTATGTTGGAAATTTATATAGACACATTATGATTTTCATTAATTAAAAGCATGATAAAAAACTAGCACAGCATATTATCCATGGGCTAATTAAAGTTTCAATAATTTGATTTAAATTATTAGTTCTGTAAATAAACCATAAATCTATCATATAATTTAATGACATTTTTATGTTGTATTACAAAATCCTTGTTTGCAGATCACATAATGCTACTGTATTATTTGTCATTAAAATATAATGCAACACACCATGCCATCTGGTGCACAGGTGCACTAGAGCCAGCTTTATTTGAAAAGAACACTTGGTAATCATGGAGATGTCAGAGCACCAGCTCTCATCTGAAGTTTGAGTGGCCATTTAGTGCAGCGAATTCACAAACACATTGTCCTTTCTGATTTTGCTTTTGACAGTAGCTTGTATTGCTCTACTCATTACTGCTCTCTATGAACCGTAGTCTCTGCTCCTCTCCCTATGCTGTGTTTATCTTATCTCTCTATTGATTCCAACGTGTGTGTTTATCAGAATCAATAGCAGAGTAGAGCCAGCGGTGTCCCCTGAGACACGATGCCTACAAGGCCCTATTTACTGTCCTCCTCTCCTGGGTTTTGGCATTTATGCAATTTGTTTTGATATTTAAGAGCTCTCCCTGTTAAAGTTTCTCATGAGGGAAAGAAGCAATGGCTGGCTCAGATTTTTACAAGATGATGCTACATTTAATACATTCAGTTTTGCTTTAGATTCTATTCAGTTCTATGCAGTTCCACAAGTGACCCACTGTTCTGCATCCTCTAGTACGTGAGTCCAGATAGGCGATACCTCTGTGGATGATAACAGGCTTCATTCCCCAGATGGAAGAAAGTAGAGAGACTGAGTTTAATTTAGACCGTTTTCCTGGAGTTAACTGCCCTTTGGAAGCCAGTTCATAGGGGTCCCCTCTTCAAAGCTCAATGATGAAGCCATATTTAGCCCCTCCCTTGACAGAGCACAATGCTGGTTAGACTAAAAGAGGAGTGCAGAGTGCTTACCAAAGCAAAGGACTCTAACTCATATCAGGGGTCCCTGGACTCAAATTTCAGTGCATAAGAAGATGGTAGGTTGGCTTCTACATATCAGATAGTAGAGTACAACTCATGTGGGAGACATGGAAAGTACTTGTGATTGGACAAAACAAAACAGTACAACACAACTGCTCATGACTAATCTGCATTTGATGTTTCATCATGCTCTTTGGTATGACTGAATTATTGTACTACATTTTAGAAAACTTCATTGTAACCCACATGCGTACTCCTGGCCATGGGTACTCGACTGTAGTTCGTACACCAGTCTTGTGTAGGCCCATGACTCATGGCTGTGGTGCTGTTGTTCAGTATCTGGAATGGGAAATTACAGCCTTGTGTAACAGTACTTTCGATTGTGGAATAGTCTGATTACCTATCTGTTTAATACACTCAGATTTTTTTTGGCTTAAAGCACACAATATGTGTTCATTCACGTATTGCTAGTATGACATCTACTGAATACACAAAAAACATGCCTGACCAATCACAGGACCTTTTCCACTTGATGCTAGGTGGCTTGAAAATGCACAGATACCTCATCTCCCACCACAAGATTCACCTACTTGTGTCTCCTTTTAAGCTCTGCTCTGAGGCTTAGTTTCTTCATCATCCATGGAAGGAGTACGGGTTGTACGTCAGCACTGTTTTAAACCCTGGAAAACGATAGCAGCTCCACCGATACAGTTCCCATCGAGGACTCTGTAGGGAGCTTCATTGCACTCCACTCCCTTGCTAACACACGAAGGAAAAACATGACAAATGAGCTTGTGGGAGTCCTTCCTAAGTGTGGAACACTCCAGTGCTCTGAAAACAGAAGAACAAAATATAGACACATGGTATTTTCCCTACTTTATTTTATATTAATTTCTATCTGTGTTGCATGTGGTGTAGAAAACCATACTACAGGAGCACTACAGTTTCATTTTACTTCTCCTTTTTTAGAAAAAAAGCATTGCTGGTTAAGCCTGTTTCCTGCTGATGCCAAATAAGCTAAAACTGGAGAGATGTTTTAGTCTGGTAAAAGCCATGTGGTCTGAAGTCCACATGTACAAGGGATTTCAGGGGTTAGTTTGGGTGTGTCAATCCTAACCAGCTGAGTGCTTATGAAGACATGTGGCCCTCGAAGCAGAGGACTCCAGTTAACATTCTTCAGGTGCAGCAGGATCCAGCGTCAAGCTCCTTAACTCTGCTCTTCCACACCTCTGGGGTGTTGGGTGGGTCCCAAGCAAGCTACTGCAGCCTTTAGGGGCACTCAGCAGCATGGCTGACTGCATCCTTATTCTTATGTAAGGGACAGGGCTCAGGATGGAGGAGAGGTAACAGCAGAAAACCACTTGCCACCAGTTTTGAATAAAAAGCATAGTTGTCATAAGTCCTCCGGAAAAATGCCTGTTCTTACACTTCTTAGTTTACTGAATAAAGGGAAATATTACGTAGAACACTGGCAGCCTTAGAGGCAATGCTATGCTAAGGTGGAACATTAAATTACAGCAGTGGCTTCGGAGTCTTTGCTTGTCTGTGCTTAAGGGCTCTCATGGGGGTAGTTGGGGCAGGTGCTTCTCACTGAGGAACTGGGAGGTCGAAGCTGGAGCAGAGCTTGTGCTCTTTCCTGAGGAAACTCTCCGACACGTGAAAGTTCCTGTAAGACCTAAAGTCTCACTTCCACTTCACGGAGCGTGAGCAGCCGAAAGGCCTCCACGATGCTGGGCCCTAACACCCAGCGAGGCTCCGGAAACACGATGGAGAACCGAGAAACCCAGGAAGGAACACACCAGGCTAGATGGTAAATAGACCTTTATTAGTCTGGCCAGACGGCACTCCCGGAACCAGGTGGCTCAGAGAGGCAACTACTCAGGGGCTGAGGTACTTTTTATAAGGTTTTTCTAAACAAAGAGTCAGGGAATTCACAGAACAAGACTGCAAACACGTTGCTTATCTTATGCAGGAAATGTTCTAGGGTCACCTTTTGTCAAACCATTTGCCCCTGGGTGGGCTGTTAACCAAGGTAGCAATTAGCATATGAAGAAGCACAGTCTGGCCTA